GAACGCTCACCCTTTGATCCGCCACGGTATCGCGGCGTACAGCCGATCCAACTTGTGTCATCGCGCGGATTACATTGGAATGGAAATCCAAGTAGTCGTATATAACTATATGACGTAATCTGTCTCTCCGATATCCAATCCAAGTTGGGAAATTTAAAAGAAAAAGTAGATATCTAAAAATATGACTTCGTGCGAACGAATTCGAAGAACGAAGAGGAAGATGCGCGCAACAATTTTCCGAGAAAGGATTAATTATTTATCTTCGACGATCGAGTCGAAGCGGTGGAAAAGATAGGGGAAAATTGTGCAAATTTTTCTCAAACCAACTAGATTCGGTGCAAAGTGTAGAAATGTTGGAAATTAACGCGCATATTAAATATCACGGAAACGTAACTTCGTCGAAGCAAGATCCTTCTCTTCCGCGATCGCTGAAAAATCTTAAGAATAATCTTTAATCTTTAACGCGAGATCTCGTACTCGAGAAAAAATACTTCCTTGGTATCTATAAGGGGAATAAAGGTGAAAGATAGGCGTGTTCCATTATTTCCTCGATGACGAACGGAAAATGGCGAGAAGATCGGTTTATCGATCGAAACGATACCGATCGCGGAAATTTTCCACCGCGTCTTCTTTTTTCCCCGGAATGGAATTCTCACGAGTAACCACGTTCCTACGTTCTACTTCCTCGTTGCCAGGATTTCTTAGGCGGCGGCGCAATCAGCGCGCATACCTGCGATATATTAATGGGACCCGTTCCTCGAGCGCGTAACGTGGCGCCAACAAAGAGGAAACAGCCGTTCTCCCCGCGATAAATCGGCACCAACCTGCGATAATAATCGATACCCGTTATTGCCCGCATAACGAATCGATTTACAGGGACGTGTACCGGTACACGATTTTATCACCCGTCCGTCTATCGCCTCCCATCGCCTCCTGCCTCTTCCTTCTTTCTCCTTCCGTTCCTCTTGCGTCGATTCGATCTTACGCCTCGTTCTCTCTCTCTCTCTCTCTCTTCCCCCCTCCTCTCGGCAAAAGGATTATTTACGGAGCGCAACGTTTTCAAATTGTTTCGTAGGCAAATATCTTTCGAACGAGAGAGGATATCGATAACGTGGAATATTTGATATAAACGTTTATATATCGGGAGCAAACTCCTCTACCTCGAATATCTTTACCTCTGCGTTTGATGCACGCCAATGTTACGATATGAAAAATCCCTGCGTTCGAGGAGATACGAGCGCGCGTTTGAGATCGAGAATGAGAAAAAGAAGGAAAGAAGGGCACGCGTCGAAGGATTGGAACTGGAAAGCGACCGAATGTACGTTTGGAATGTTTGTATAAATTTTCAGAATTACGCGTAACAGATTCCAAAATAGAGGATGACTAAACGCGAGGATATTAATACACACGGTGAATTAATTAAAATGTTGCAAACTAGTTTCCTTAAAATCGTTATGGATTAAATATGGATACGAAGATAATAACGAATAATACAATAACATCGATTGCGATCCAACGTGTAATAAATTAAGTTGATCGATAAATTTTTTCACGGTTTCGTTCTTTTTTTTTTTTTTTTCACGGTATCGATCGAACCGGTAATAAAAATTAATTTCAACTTCGCGAGAGGTAAATTTTATCGCAAATTTATTAAATTTTTTACACCAGCTACACGGTTAAACACAACCTCCAACGTGTATTTTTAAGGACAAAAGAAACGAGAAACGTTCGCATTCTCGATTACTAAAGAAAATATCCACGTATAAAATCATGCACACACACACACATATATATATATATACGTATAACGAGTCTGATCGATCCTGGTACCGTACAATTTATTTTACGAATACAATTTAATTTTAATTTAATATTCGGATAAAAGGTGCCATAATACCATTAATAAGTAAGACACATCCTTTCCGATAAATCCGACGACCGAACGAAAATCGAAAAAGATTCCCTCCGTTTGTCTCTCGGAGAGAGACAAGAATACTTTGATGAAAAAACCGAGCGATGGACAATCCGAGCGAGACGACATTATCAACGACGGCCAAAAGAAAGGAATAATATCCTCTTTCATAGCGATATCGGCATTCTTCGTTACCCGCTAATAAATTATGTCACAACGTTGAAGAAAGTTGGACCGACTCGAATCTATCTTCCCTTAAGAACTTTAAATCTCTTTCTTCGCGAGAGACGTTCGATTAATATCGAAGCTCGACTTAATTTAAATTAACATTCTTACTAGTGTCAACCACCGATCTGAACGCGATTTATCATCGACGCGAAATTGGTCGACGACGAGACGGCGAGTGCAAATTTATCAGACTCGATATCACCCGATTAAAATACCGATCTAATTTCTCCACGACGAGACAATTTTCAAAGTCTCGTCCCCTTCTTTCTTTTACGATCGGAAAGAGAGTAATCGGTAATCGATTGGGACGAGATTTGATCGCGATCCTTATCTCGAAGATGGGACAGAATTTCGTGGATTCCGCTTCCTCCCGTTTCCTCGGCTAACTCTTAACAACCGTGCCTGTTTACCCGCTGCAGCGTACGCTGCTCGTTTGCATCAACTTACATCGCCTTCGCGATTATTTAACGCGATTCTACAAACGTAAACAGGCTTTTTCGCCGCGTGCATCTGCACCGGCCCATTCGGAATAACGATCGAATGCGGAACGAACGTTTGTGAAATTCGAGTAAGAGCGCGCCAACCGATTCTTGTTATCGAATTTCCCGAATTACCGATTATTTGTAATTTGAATTTTTCGTCGAATCGAATTACGAAAAAAGAGAGAGAGAGAGAGAGAGAGAGAAAAGAAAAAGAAAAAAGGAAAAAGAAGGAAAAGAGAGAAAGACTTAGAAATAATTAGCGAATCCAATTTTTACACGTAGCAGAACGCTATTACTACTTCTTACCCGAGAATTCCTGATCAAAAGGAAAGTATATGTACATATACGTTAGAATTTCTAGCTCGCTTATTTCCCTCGCGGTGAAACATTGTACGTTTCCACTGTCGATATCATCCACTGGAAAAATCACTATCGAAACTCGAGCGCGAACCTTGCTACGAACGATTCACGATCGATTAATCGGTTGATTTCGCGAATGTCAAAAGGACGATTCGACTCGGTTTATTATCGATTCGTCGATTCGCTTTCCCTCCAAAGTGGAATTCGAGCGAAACGAAGGTGAAGCAAGCGCGTACGATACTCGGTTTCGTGAAAATATTTGGGGGGGAGCTCGTTTCGAGAAGGGAATCGATCGAGATATTACGAGGAAATGAAATGGCAGCAGAAACTTGGAAAAGAAGAAAGTTTATAGCGCCGATATATATCTTTTCAAACGATGGAAACTACTTTCCTCCGAGATATCCGCAATTTCGTATCGGAGGGAAGAAAAAGAAAAAAAGAAAGAGGATATTCGATGGATAATCGTCGAAAGATTATTACCTCGTGGACGATAAAAGGGTAAGATTATCCTATAGATTCGCAGAGGGAGACGAGCTAATGGCTTTATCCACGATCTCTATCCGGTGCAAAATATACGCTCGTTAAATACGATAAATCTAATTATCTTCGCGGTGACAAGTTGCGATCAATTACGTTTGCGATCGATCTCCTCGATCGGAAAAATTTTCGTCGCGAACGAATAGAGAATTCTAAGAATTCGAAACGTGCGCGTTTATTTCGTCCTTCTTCGCTCCACGTTCCTTTCAATCCGTTGCACAGTAGACACATTTAACATCGAAAACGCATCGACGTACGTGTCTACTCGTTATTCTTTATATCCCGATAAACATCAAGTTTTTACAAGTAGCGAATCTAATCGCGACTCGCTGCGTAAATCTTATTCGAAGATAAATTTGTTTCGCGTAGCATTTATCAAAACGGTACGGATAAAAAGTCGCGATAAAAATCGGTTGCGACGTAAATCGACGGATTCCAAGTATATTTATTTGTTCGAACGTGTATCTAGGTTGCCTAGCCATCTGTCTAGGTAAAAGATTTTGCTATAATAAATTTACGCGTACATCGTTACGACACAGATCGGTGACGCACAGATCGAATCTTAAAAATTATTCAAAGATCGCGCGAATAAAATATTTGCACGAGAAATATGGAAAAGAAAGATGGCGCGATGAAAATAGCGAATGCTTCTCGAATCGTTCTCGATTCCTTTGCCCGAGAAACTCTATTATATTTCCTGCCAGCAAGCATTTCCTGGCCGGTGGAAACCATTTTTAGATCGTGGAGGGCTCTCCATTTCGCCTGCCACTTGGACCGCGCTAAGAGAGAACTAACAACCGGAATACACCGGCTAACCTCGCCGCAAAAATGCTGAATAAATCCCGAGGGAGGAATCCGTACGTTTTCGGTAAAAGATGTTCGAAGCGAGCAACAACCGTGAAATTAATTCGAATCGATCTCCGGTTATCTCTTGCGTCTTATCGTTTCTTTTTCTTTTCCTTCGAGATCGATCGAAAGATTGAAAATCGCTCACAACTTTTTTTTCCATCGTTCGAGTACGCGATCGGATCACGCAAAATCGGGAGATTCGTATATACGCGAACGGACGAGAGGCCTTGCGAGGCGCACAAGTGCACTTGGCGGAGGGTCACGTTCGAAACGTTAGCGCAAAGTAAGATACATGGGACAAGGGAGGGAGACAAATGGAGTCAATAGTTGTCAACCTCGAAGCCTCTTTCCTCTCTTCTAACCTTAAAGAGACCTTAAAACTCGAGAAGGCCTTAAACTTGCTTCGAAAAAAAGAAGAAAAAAGAGAAAATAATCGTTCGAGGAGAGGAGAGGGTAAAAGAAATGTTAATCCGCGTAAAGAAATAGGATAGCTGTTAATGGCGATAATCGCGGGGGAAGGGAGGAGGAAAGGAAAGTTGGAAGCGTAGGAAAGGCTCGATCCCTTAACGGACAATTACTATGGATGGATAGGAAAAGTTGTGGTGGAAAATTTGAGAATACGGTTGAGTTACCTTATTTCAGAGCGGCAGTAATTGGCAAGATTCTTCCCTTTTTGTTTGCTCGTCGTCCGCTTCGTTCTCCTCTTCCTCCTCTTTGTTCGCCACTCGAACAACTTTGAAGTCAAACCAAGAACGCGGTTCGAGGAACTAATACCTTTTTCGTGGGAATGCTTGGGCCGGAATCTCAGACGACGCGTACAATTTGATTTCCCGTCGAATCGAAGGCCATGCTTTCCCCGCTCCTTTCGCGATCTGCAACAAAAATCGATTAGATTAGATTACATACGCGCTCGCGATACATCGCGTCCGATCGATATTCCTTTTTATTTCATCATTATCGAAATTGAGACGAAACGAAGTCCAAAGCAATAAGATGGAATTAAAATTACGCTCTTCAGCAGTATACGTACAATAATAATCGCGTCGAGTCTCGTTGTTCAGATATCGTATTCGCTTGGAAAGCACGTTTTCTAATGACGAAGTTAAAAACTTTGCCATAAGTCGTATATCAATTTTTTAACGCTACGACCAACGAATTTGAAAATATTTAAATTTCTCGGCTTTCGCAGCTTTCGATTTAAGCATCTTCTTAAACGAACCCCGAGAATTCCTTTCAGGGAAACATTAATTTACCGCGCAAACAGACGGAGGAGCGCTCCGAGGAGAGAAGAAAAATGAAGAAAAATATAAGAAAGTATCGGCGGAAGAAAGCTCGCGCAACTTTCTGACAATTTTCGTCGTATCGATACACTTAAAAAAAAAAAAAAAGGCGAAGCGATCGAAGCGTTTTCCACACCTCTACGCGTTAACGAAGCGAAGATCGAAATCTAATAAGACGATAAGAACGACGATTTTCGACGCGACGATGAACGCCGGCGAGGCAGCAAGTTTGCGAGCGTAGTAGTCACGCTCCGATGTATCCGAGTATGCAAAGGAACAAGTTAATTAAGGACCACCCAGAAACCGCTATCTTCCTCGCTCTTCGAAGCGCGCGATGGAAACGTGCCAAGAGACGCGTAAATGCCGATTCCCGGTTCCCCGTCCATCCTCATCCCGAACAAAAGCGCATCCGAACGCGACGAATAAAAAACCCAACCTTTCAAACGTTTTCAATTTTCAAATTTCGCTTTATCTCCTTCCCTTTCGTATTTCGTCGGAAACGCGTTTCGCCTCGCTTTTGAAAACTCCGCGCGGAAAGCGCACACGTGAAAACCAACGGAGTCCGAGTCTAAGCGGGACAAAGATCAACGGGAAGGATTTTGAAAAAGGACCGACAACCTTGAGCGTCACCGTCGAGCAAGGATCTTGGAAATTTATCGCTTTCCGAAAGGATTAGCCAACGTTTATATGACGGGTGAGAAGAAACGGATTGTCGAGAAATTTATCTCGATCTCGGAAACGAAGTAGCGGCGTTAAATCACGTAAGATGCAGCCGAAATTTTTCTGCTACGCTTGTATTAAAGACTATATGAATATGAATATATATATATATTTCACGTCGATTTTGAAGCGGGAAATTTTCTTTCTTTCCCCTCTTTGACGATCGCGATGAGCTCGTAAATTACCACTTTCGTACCTACCGTTTCGTTTCAAGAATTATTCCAACGAAATTGCCTGCGTCCTCCTTCGCTCGCCCAGCTAATCAAAAATCCCTTCTACTTTCGCAAACTTTCAATACTCGTTGTTCTCTCGTTTCCTTTTTTCTTCCTTTCCGTTGTTTCGATCGTAGAGAATCGAATCGTCGTCCTTTCGTATCCTCTTAATCCGAAAATATTTCTTGGAATAAAAAGGGTGACGAAAACTAGCGAGAGATCTAACGCGGTCGAAAATTCGCAAGAAGGAACGAACAAAGGGTGCGAAATCTCGAAATCTCAACCACCACGCGTAATTTATATAACTGGAACGTTTGGAAGGATATTTGCTCCGGAAACAATGGACAAACCGATGCGTATTCGGTTAACGAACGAAATCTCGCGTTCCTCTTACTACACAAAGTAACCTTTCGTAAAAATCCTCCCGAGTAACTGTGTTCCATTCCAACATTTACGTATTCACGATCCTGGTAAAATTTCACTTCGCCAAACTTTCGTTGAAAACGAGATGGATGGAAAGGAGCGGAGCGACTAATACGCACTCGGGGCTTATTCGAGGTATTCGCGAAACTTGCTCCTCCACCGATAATGAAAAATATTTACGCATCGGTGAAATGTGGGTTAACGCTTTGCATATCGCCCTCGCGTCGAGGATACCGGTCCGCCTCTAGATAAGAGCTTCCTTTCCCTCTCCCCCTCATGATCCTAATTACTCGTTCTTATCTAGACTTTGTTCGCTTCGACGAAATTTCGGCCGAGTTTCCGCCTCGGCAAAAACGTAACGTGGACAGAAACTACAAAGTGGACAGAAGGAAGAGAGGAGCATACCTCGAATCTAGCGACATTTCAAGTCTCGCAAGGAGACAGGAGTCGACTTCTTGGAACAGTTATTCTAATATTTCGATGGAATTAGCGGGAATCGCTCCTTTCCTTCGTTTCCGGTTGGAAAAGGAAGAGGAAGAGGAAGAGGAAGAGGAAGAAGGGGGAAAAAATTAGAAACGGCGCGAAACTGTTAAAACGTCCGTCCTTGAACGTCGGGGGTTTCCAGCAAGGTGAACGGATACGCGTCGAAAGCGAGCGTAATTGTCATTGAGACAAAACGTTGTTGTAGCTCCCTATAAAGTCCGAGCGAATGCACAATGATTCATTTATGAGGATCGCATGAATAAGCGATTGTATGTGAAATCAGTCGGTCATTTAACGAAAGTGGCGGCAAGGAATGTGAAAAGAAACGGCGGGAAAACGAAATGGGATTTTTATCGATGGAATTCAAGGACGGGGAACGATGCGACCGTTGACCGTGAATAAATCGCAGCGGGATAACTCTGGCAAAGTTTCAGCTTCGTTCCTCACTCGTCGGATGAATTTGAGAAACTTTCGAAAAGTTCGATCGTTTTTCCCCGTCCCGAAGGGAGGGAAATCGATTCGAGATCTTTCGTCCGGCCATTTCAATATATCGGTATATAATTTTAGACGACGAGTCTTCTTTGTCGAGGAATCGAGATACGTATGGAAAACTTCCCTTCACCCTCGAAAGAAATTGTTCGAGCGAATGTTGGAGAGACGAGAGGGGGGAAAAAATCGACCAGCAAACGAGGAAAGATCGTCCATTCTCGAGGGAGAAGGTAACAAACGATGGCAGATATTTCGTTTCGTTTCGTCCATTTTCGTGGACCTTCCCCTTCGTTCTTGCTCGAAGAGAAACGTTCCAACTACGTAACGCGAGTGGTTTACACATTCCGGGCTATCCGGGATACACGCGTTCGAGACGAAGGATCGTTTACTCAATTCGTCGCTTCCTTTACGATTCTATCGATCTTCCCCCGCGTACGTCGTGAAATTTTCCAACAAAAAGAAAGAAAGAAAGAAAGAAAGAAAGAAAGAAAGAAAAGGAGCAGAGAAAAATATCGTACGAAAAATAAATTTTTTATGAGAATTCGCCATAATATATTCCGCTACGAAACGCGTTCGTAGAGAATAAAGATACGATTTGAAAGCGCGTAATCTAGCGAACCGGTTAAATACGAAAACATTGCGATTTGTTGCGCGTGCACGATATCAAAGTTTGGCCCAAACCTACGTCCCATTTCAATTCTTTTATTGCGCGTTCAACATACCGGCGAATGAAATATCGCCAGCTTCTCGACAATAGCGCGCGATCCTACGGCACCGGAATATTGATACGTATTGATATAAAAAAAGGAAAGGGGGTTTCTCCCGATACGCAAACGATAAAGCAAATTCTTCGGGCAAACGCGAAAACGTGAATCGTTATAATTACATTTCCGATTCCGCGAGTAAATTTATAAAATTGATAATTTCTATCATCGATCTTTCCCCCCCCATCTCGACCGTATCCAAGTTAAATATAAACCGTTATTTCTACGTTGAAACGATATTTTTACACGAGAGGCAAGGCTTCGTTCTTCTCGCCGTCTCGTAGCAAAACAAAAAGGAGAAAAATTGTGGAGGAATTTTCGAAGAGAGGAATCAAAAAAGGGCGGGGAAAGAAATGGCCGTTTCACGTCCCATGAAAATCGCAAATATCGGCGATCTCTATCGATCGATCTCGAGGCAAGGTCGAGATGGAAACGTTATCGATGGCCATTATCTTATACCTTCGTATCGAATGAAACGCCATGCACGTAATCTAAATACGAATGATCGAACAATTAAGAGACAATTAAACTTGCCGGAAGTCGTACGAATGGCCGTTCAAAATGTAATTGACACACGATTCTGCCTTCTCTCTTAATTACATTCCAACGTCGCGCCCATTACATATATATATATATATATATATGTATATATAACGTGCAACTGTAGTTCTTTGATCAGTCGTTCAACCTGTCAATCAACCGTTTGGAAATAGATATTTCTCCGAATTTCGTCACCTTCCTTCGTGGAGAATCCTCCGATTCGAAATATCTCGAGATAAGATAAAATATCGCGACGCTTTCGCGAATCTCTTCTCGCGCCAATCCAATTTTTCTTCTTAGATTCCTTCCTTCCTAGACGAAAAGTATTTTTCGTGGAAAAGTGAACGAGAGGGGGGTCGGAGCGTTGCAGAGAAGAGAAAGAAGAAAAAAAACTAGGTTGGGAAACAACGATAACGTTGGCTCGAGGTAACCGAGGAGATTCGATGTTGTTACGTTGTTGTTACTCGTGATTTCTCGCGCACGAGGAACGATATTAAGCGTCCGAAGCGCGCCACGAATCTACGATGTAACGACGGAAAATTCCTTATCTCGTGGCGAGAAGCACGTTCCTTAAAAATCAAAGGCCGTCGGCGTCAATCGGTTAGACGAACATGGATAGTCGAGAGACAGACGGCTGCGCTGACTTCACCGTACGTAAACTCAATAACGGAGAAAACGTTTTAGAAAATTTCTCCTTCCACCGATCCAATTCGACCGATTTATTTCGTTTTCTCGACGGATAACCGGGAACCGTATTCGATCATTCACATTTTTTTAACCTTCGAGGAGGAACGAATCATTATTATCGATTTATCATTTTTCATTTCTCCGTTTCGATTAAGCCTTCGAATATCGTTTTCGATCGATTTTATTATCGTTGTTTATTACGCGCGAAGATTAATTTCGATCATCGAATTCCTATCTTTCCATTCTTCTCAAACGTGCAAATCTACTTATCTGT